ATCAATCTAATTTATTAAATTCATATATTAAACTTGAGTTTAATTGACGTACGTACATATTAATCATATAATTTTTATAACTACGTAAGTTATATTTTAATCGGTATAAATTTTAAACTCAGGTACGTTAATTTTGAATTAATGGTATTTAAGAGCAACGTACAACATGAATACGTACGTACGCATGCATATTTTATAATAATAATAATAATAATTATTATTATTATTAGTATACTTTTTAAACATACTGTAAATTAATGATATTTTGTATTAGTAAATATTGGCCCGAATTAAGTTTAATTTAGGCCAAGATTAAATTAATTTTTCTTAATGTCCAATAAAAAAGTTATTATGTCCAATCAAATTATTTGGACAATTGAACATTGTCCAAATATCCAATATCGTAACATGCCATCTCTGGTATATTGTATTAACAGTCGATCGAGATGTCACATTTGATTTTTTATCATATGATTTTCATAAATTACACAAATCGGTGAAATCACATTTTTAAAATTTTCTCCCAAAGTCTTAGTTATAACAAATAATTTTTTTAAAAAAATAAATTTTCAGGGCTTCAACGAACCAAACAGTATAAAGTATACGAAAAACTAATGTCACCCGGTAATGTGTGACCCCTTTAAAGATGGGCAATTATTTTGCCTTCTTCCGCATAATTCTTTTGGAGTTTTCAAGATCTTAACATGAAAAATAGCTTGTTAGATGCACACAGGTGAGAACTTTTAGTAAAATGCATCTTCGAAGAGTTGTTATATTAGAAGCATTGTGCTGAAAATTAAGAAAAACTGTTTTATAATATATAGATTGTAATTATTGCTAATAAGATTTTCTTTTTTTTTCTTTTAGTAAAATGTCAATAGCAAGACAAGCACGGATTTAGATCTTTTTTTCTTTATCTAAGATATTGGTTCATATTTCTTTTTTGCTTCAAGACAGAGATTTAGAATCAGATTTGTGATATGTTGTTTTTTTTGGTTTGCTTTTTTTGGTTTTCTTTTTTGAACTACTGTAATATTTCTTTTATTTGTGGAGATTCCAGCTTTCATGGTGGTTTCAATATTTTGCCATTTCTTTTGTCATTTGGTGCCATTTTGGTGCTGTTGTTTGTGGAGTTCCCAGGTGCACTTTAGTCTTGAGCGAGTTTTTTTCTCTTGTATAAGTTTTACCTGAATTTGTTGAATTAATACCAAGAATGGCACTGGTTTACAACTGGGATGCTGTGAATGAAGTCATGAGGTATCCATTTGTTTAGTACCACAAAATACTTTGTGGTATTTGCATTTTGGTGTAGGAAGTTTTTGATTTTTTTTTGTTATAGTGCAAAATTTTACTAAATCACAAAATTTTTTTTTGTTTGAAAATTTTTTGTTAACTGCGAAATTGGCACTAGGCGTAGGATGTAATAATGATATAATTAATAAATTAAACTTTTAATAAAAAATTATTTATTTTAATTAGATTCGAATTAAATTTATTTAATAAATTAAAAATTATAATATATGTTCGATTACAATTTTTTTTTAAAAAAGCCTATCGATTTGTAATTTAACCTGACACTATTATCCTGATATAAGAATAATAAAAAAAAACTTCGAATCATCCATTCAATACAAAAATAATAAAAAAAAAACTTCAAATTATTTATTCCGATACAAGAATAAAAAAAAAACTTCAAATTGTCTATCTCAATATAAAAATACTAAAAAAAAAACTTCGAATTGTTCTAAAATTAATAAATGAATTGTTATGGTTAACTCCATTTAAATTTAAATGCTAGAAGTATGCTAAGAATCTTACTGAAATCAGTGGAGTTCTTACAAAATGCACCAGCTAGTGCTTTTTTTCTATTCCAGGATCCTGAGAAGTCAACATGGTGTTCTTCTTTCTGAACGAAGTTTATTATTTCAAAAGCTGAGATTATTATTCTAGCTAAAATTTAAAATAGGTTAATGGTCTTGCAAGTTATAATTGTTTTAAATTTTGTGCAGAAGTTTACTGGCAACTTTGTTTTTGTATAGGAACTTTATCAGTTATATGATTTTGAATCTCAATACTATAGATTATGAAATGAAAGAGCATCTTCGAAGACATGATTCTTTTCAAGTTTATTATTTTTTTCTTACTTTAAACATAGGGATAATAAAGTATTTTGTATTGCTTCATTGTTTGTGTTCAGAACGCAGTTTCTTTTTATGAAACCCTGAAAGTGACGATTAAAAATAGCCTACCATTACAATTTAATATAGTAAAAAATTTATTCACCTGATCTGCGTGACATCTCGATCGACTGTTAATAAGTTTGAGATTATATAAAATAAAATCCCACCTTTACCCACTTATGAGTATATAATATTAAAATGAATGAATATTTTAAAAATTATGTAATTTGATTGATAATTATCACAGATGATCACGGGTAAATCTATAAAATTAAAATTTGACCAATCACGTGGAGGACCAAGTTAATGACGGCCAGACCCAACGTACAGGACAGGCTATGGTACCCTGCACAACTGTGAGAACC